TGATTTATCAAAAAACTTTTAAATATTGTTATATCACTTCCTGTATCTATTAAAGCACAAGTTGTTATATTTGTTTCTATAATAGTACTTTGTATACATACAGTCAACGAAAAACTTATCTGATTATTTATTTAGTTCTTTTTACATAATATAGTTTGTCCATTATGGACTATATATAATCATTCTCTTTTTATCCTATAATCTTTTAATCCATTTAAAAAACTCAATCCTAAAAATATATGAGGGTTTATATTCATATTTTTATCTATATAATATGGTACTAAAAGATCTATTCCTCCTATTTATATCGGTACCTTCACTTCCAAATCTGTAATATGTACTTGTCCATCAAAATTTACATATCTATATGGATCAGTTTTATAGATTATTAATCCTTTATTTCTGATTAAAATTATATGACATTCACTAGCTCATGTATCTATTAATATATTTGGTCTATTTATATTTTCTCTTCCATTATAATATTCTCTTTCTAATTTCATATTTCCAGCATTCCTATATAGTTTTATTTCTTTTATATTATTAAATTCTTCTAACAGGTTTTTATTAGGTATTTTAAGACTTTTTGATCTTTTGATTAATTTCCATCCTTAAAACATTCTCCTTCATTTAACTCTGTTATTTCAGGTTTATTTTTTATTATACAAAATTCATATTCTTTTGGAATTAAACTTATTTGTTTATTTTGTTCTATTATTTTACTGATATTCTTACATTCTTTATGTATTTCAATATAAGGTTTATCGGAATAAATTTTTCTATAATTAGAAATGGTAAGTGTGTATAATGCTCTATACTCTATAGTCATAGTTTGATCAGCTGGTTCTATGATATCATTTATATGCAATCCTAAGACTTCATTAAAATTTATATCTTTAAATGGTACATAATATTTTGGGTAACATGTAAACATTATTTTTTGATATGCCAGATCTCCTTCTATTGTTCCTAAATAGCTATCTTTCAAATTTATTGTCCTTCCATTATTTAAAGTTATAGTTAAGGGTGAGTCTATCCCTTCTCTAAATAATGATTTAAACATTATTCGTATTCTTGCTAAATAAACATATTGAATTTTTTTCACTTTGTTTTTTACTAACATTTGTTAATAGTTCTTCAACCATATTTTTTGTTAAAAGATTTATTTATATTGTCCTTATGTTGTTCTTACATTTATGATTTTTTTCATTTTGTGATAATCATTTATTACTATCATTTTTCTTTTCCAAATTCTATCTAAAACTTCACATTTCCCCATTTATAAATCTAAAAATAATTTTTGTAATTTTCTAAATTTATTGTTATCAAATGTAACTTTTAATTCATATCATTCTATTCCTTCATATTCTTGTATATTTATATTATCAATTTCTATTTCCTTATTCAGATTCTGATTTATCATCCCCTGTTTCACTTATTTAAACTTCTTGATTATAATATTTTTCAATGTCTGAAATTTCACTAAATTCATTTTTTATTTCCAAATATTCTTTTTGTAATATTTTAGCTTTCTTTTAATCACAATCAGTGCTTATATAACCTATTTCTCCACAATTCCAACATTTACATTGGCTTTTATTTTTCTGTTGACCGTATGAGATATTTTTTCTTTTATAATATCTTATTCTAGGTTTTATATATTTTTTTATTAAAATTTCTAAATTTTTTAAATTTTTATTTTTATATTTTCTTTTATTAACCATTCTTTCAGGATTACATCTCCACTGTATAAGATTTTTCATATCTTCACAAATACTCTAGTTAATTTTCCTGATTTTTCATCAATTATCTTTTTTGACATATAAATACAAGTCTTTCAAATAAAAATTTTATTCTAATCCTAAAGTTCTAGTTATTCCAACATTATCTCTAACATATTTTTCAAATTCTATTTTAAAATATATTCTCTATATTATTATAAAATTGAACATAATAATAGTTTATAAATTCACAAGTATATTTTTAATTTTACACATATCACATATTGTTAAATTTATTAACTTAATTCTAACATTGTCTTTTTCTCTTATTTCTTCTCTTTCAGCATTTCTTATCCAATTTTCTCCTAAAAATTCATCTGAAATATATTTTACTAATTTTTCTATACCTTGTCTATCTGATTTTATTATTTCTGTTTGTACATTTCTTTTTATTAATATTTTTTGTGTCATTACTTATTCATTCTCGCCAAATTCTAACATCTCATTCAAATGATACTATTAAGAAATCTATCATTCTTTCAGTATTTTTCCATGTGTCATCTTTATTATATAAAAAGAATAATATCATTGAATTTGTCCAAGTTAATAAGATTTTTTTAGTATCTATTTTGCAATTTAAATTTAATTTTGTTCCTTCGTGGTTAATATGTTTATCATAATTATTATTTAATTCAAACATGTCTCTATATTTATTTCCTTTAGGTGGTTGTCTATCTCTTATTTTATCATAAAATTGTCTATAGGATTTATTATATATAGGTGCATAAATTTCATCTAAATCTTGTAATTCTTGTTTAGAAGTTCATATTGGATTAGGTTCTCCTCCAATATTAATTAAAACTTAGTATTCACTTATATCACTTAAACTTAATCGATCAAAATTTTCTATAAGTAAGTCTAATTCCTCATTCATCTTTATTCTCTTGATTTTTTTCTATTTTTAATTTTCCTAATATTTTTTCTTTAAATCCTTCTTCTTCTTCTTCTAATATTTTAGGTAATATATTCTTTCTAAATTCATCATCCATATTTCTTGTTTCTATTACTATATTTTCTTTTTCAATATATTTCTTTCCTATTCTAATAATTTCTTTTTCTATTAATTTTTTATCTATTTTCTTATCTTTATTTTTATTGTTCTCTTTTAATTCTCTAATTTCAATTTTTAATAAATTTATATCATTTCTTATCTCTCTTACTTCATTTCTTAAATCTTGTATATCATTTATTAACATTTTTATTAATGACTTTAATTCTTTCATATATTCACTTATTGACATATTAAAATCATCTTTCTAACATATAAGTTAATTTACATCTTTTATCTTCTTTTTTATCTATTATTTTTTCAAATCTTCTGTTGGCTATATCTTGATCTATTAATTCTTCTTTTACTAAACTGAAATATTTACTCTCAAGTCCTAATCTTTCACATTTTAATTTTATCAATTGTCTTTTATTTGATACTCTTATTCGTTCTGGTATTAACATTATATCTCTTATTTTTTTCTTGTATTTTTTCCATTTTTATAAGTAATTTATTTAATTTTAAATTTGTATTATCAATTACACTCATACTTCTCTTTATAATATAATTTAATCTCTTCATCTTCATATTCTTTAATAATTTTTTTCATACACATATATTTCTTTTATCAATCCTATTATTAATTTTTCTAATATTTGTTCTTTTATTTCTTTAGGTAAATCTTTAACTATTGTTAACGTCATTATTTTTAATTTATTAGAAATAGGTTTTAAAAATATATAACTTCCTCTTCCTTCTTCTAATTTATAATAATTATTTATTTTTCTTATTTTAATTTTCATCATTTCTATGCTTTTATCAAAATGTAAATATAAATATTTGTATATTGTAATTAATTATTATTTTCAAGATGTATAATCTAAATATTCCTTTAACTTTATAATAATTAATCTATTATTTATTAAATTTATATAAAATCTAAGTTTTAACTTAAATCTAAAGATTTTTATTTCTTTAGATAATATATTTTTTATGGATTTCCTCATGATCTCTATGTCTCTGATACCAATTAGGGGGCTACTTAGAGCGATCAAAAATCAAATAAATCTAAAAAATTAAATAAATCTAAAAACAATAAATATTTAGAAAATCAAGTAATATTTAATTTTAAGGACTAAAATGCAAGATTTCTATATTATATTAACTTGTTATGCAATATTCAAAATGAAGGGTATTTTAGGTATCTAATTAAGTCAAAAATTATTTTGGAAAATGGCCTCTTTGTTTTAGGTCATTTCCACGTATTTTCCTACCCAATAGTCCATCCTGGTCTAAAACTCATCTTTGGACTTTGAGTCTTTGATAAATAAAAATCCTCCCTCAATACCCTCCTGCGTCTTTAATAATTGGACTTCACTGGATTGCATTAAGATACATTATCAAATAAATTAAAATAGATAATGTCTATAAAACTTCCTCTCTAATGCAACATGTTTAGAACTATATCTAACTGACGTGACAAAAAAAAAAAAAAATAGACATCGCCAAAATGACCATCTAAACGTAAACCTTTTAAGATGATTCACCCCCGTTTGGTTCCCATTTTCTTTCTTTTTTTTCCCTCTTATTTTCAACCTCACAATCTTCCATAAAATAATATTACACTTCGAAAACTTTTTATTCTTTTTCAACCACACATTCTTTTAAAAAAAAAAAAAAAAAAAAACTATTCCAAGCATTAAAATTTGGAAAAATGGGAACCAAACGGGAGCTTCACTAGTCACCATAATTTAATATCTCTCTTTCCTAATTCTTATTTTTCCCTCTTAATAAATATATATTAAAAACAAAATTTGAATTATACACATCATATTTTTAGATATGAAATTTGAATTAGGCCATGTATTCCTAGACATTAATGCCACTTGATTTCGATAGCAAGGACTTATTTACATAATTTGAATCTGAGACATTTGATTACATTTTTTATCAAGATAGTAAGCCAAGCTTTTTTATTCAAATATCACCTAAATTACAATTCACAGAATGCATTAGAATTGCTCTAACAACTCATTTCGTACATGTTGAGTTTGTCTTTTCCCAAGTCCAAAACTGGACACCAAGTCATCTATGTTCTCAGTTACTTGAGTCTCAAAACCAGGTAAAAAAAAAGAGTTGAAGCGAGTTAACATGTAACATAAAGTTTCGCTCCTTATTACATAAATCCCAGCGCAGTTCGTTTCATTGAGACTGGAAGAAAGGCACATTTCAGAGACTAGAAGAAAGGAGGTTTCAGTGGGTTAACGTCCAATATAAACTTGTATCACTTCACATTTCATCAATTGTTGTAGGGCTTACCTGTCCGTTCTCTCCCTTCTTACTGCCTTCCATCCCCAGTAAATTCTCTCTACGTATGAAATAATTGACTTAATCAACACAAGTTCAGTTTAACACAGATCAGTAATGTGGAGAAGATGATTTATGGATGAAGAGCAACCTCCCTGTTCGACTTAAGCAGTTCACATCTATCTTTCGTACCACAGCAAAGTAAACAACAAAATTTGATATTCAAGAAGTGGTCCGAAGCTTTAACACTAATATTCCAAGTAAAGTTAAAACAAAAACAACGATCTACGATATTAATAAACAAAAATTCAATCCATAAACAAAATTACGACAATAATACTTCCTCTAGCAAAAGTTCGAAAGTTCATTTATGCATATTTTGAGATGCCGTTGGCTTCAACCCCTCTGAAATCCGTTCAGCGATACTGAAAATAAGAAAATTGAATTAAAACCAGAATTAGAGCCAACTTCAGATAACCAGAAATGAGAAAGGAAACATAATATTTTAATAGTAACCCTGAAATCAGCTTGATGAAAATTGACTATGGCAGTAAAACTGTATATATAATGAAAGAAACTCAGATCGGGCATGGCTGAGGGGGGATCACGGTAACTGATGGCAGCACTGTTGGCGGCGACTGGTTTTTTACACCTAGGAAATTGGCAACGATTTCTAATATGGATTGCAAACTGTAGTAGCTGATGGTTGGGAGAGATGGTGGTTGTTAGGCCATCAGTTTTACATGCTAGGAAGGTGGGGGCTGTAGAGCGGTGAATGGAAAGAGATGCCCATAAAAGGATTCAAACATCACCGAATTTTGGGGGATCTGAAATCCATTAATCTTTAGCTTGAAATCCATCAGTTCTGAATGTATACAGAATTCCATGTCACTATTGGACATCCAAAAAAATGGGAAGTTCAAGAGCTGTGAGAAGGAATCCGTTAGACACTACCTATCACTTAGCATCGGGGTGATTTACTTTTAATTGACAAGAACACAGAGTGTGGTAAGCTCACATCTACTCCAAATCTCTACATCCAGAAAAAAAAATAATCTAAATCCAAAAAATAAAATAAAGTACCAATCTATTGCTTAGAAAAAATACCCCAATAAAAATCTGCTTAGCAGAACAAT